CACACGATTTTGTGATGAGGTGGAATGTTTTGCCCTGTGCCCAGCTACAGGCAGCCGGCACACAATTAGAAGAAACAGCAATCCTTGTGCAACCACGCATCATCAGGGCACTAATAGAAGATGTTAAGAAAACTCTCCTCGTGATGTGGTATCAAGCACAGGTGACTTTCACCCAGCTCTGAAGCATCCCTTTAGGCCTAAGTTCAGCAAGGTGAGCTCAACCTGAGCTCACTGGTGTCACTGGTACGAATAACTGTCTGAAATTAGGCACATGCTTAAACATTTTGTCGGGCTCAGGCTTCTGGATTAACTGCAGACTTAGTGTCTCCCGGCACTGCACTCGACAGCGAGCTCCTTCCCACTCCGTCCCCACCCATCTGAGTCTTCGGGGAATGTTGCCATGGATTTCCATGGGACACAAAAGAGTCCATATTGGAAGAACCCTGTTAAGGTTGCTAGGCGTAAATATTGACTTAACGGCTCTTCCGCCTTTTTTCTTTTTTAAGAACAGATTTGTTGGCCATGGCTGGAAAAATAAAATGATGGAGTATGCATGATTCACTCTGGCAGTCACACAAACATGCAGATCAGTTGGCTGGCAGCTCGCTCCTCTGTTAGCAGAACATCGCTTCTAAAATGTGTCATTTCGTTTTGGCAGCAAGAGCATCCAGGCCCGCAGACAGAGAGATAAAATCTCCTACCTTCCATGTACTTCACATGGGGACCGCTGACCTTCCCCAACACACAACATTTGATTAATACTTCCAACAGCTTTTTAGTTGAGACACACAGAAGGACTGATGGGATGCTGCAATCGTTCCACACTAAAAGCCGAGCCCAGAGATCTCCCTACTTGGGCCCACTCTCCTGGGTCTGCTGACATGAGAAAGGACTGCAAAATGAACTGCAGGTAAAACTTTTTATCCAAAAGTCTTTCGAAATAAAGGCTGTTTCACAGACAATAAATATTGAGACAGAAGATATTAAAGGTCACATGGGAAGTCAGCAAGCAGCAGAAGTGAGAGGGGACCCCAGGGTTTTGATCATTGGGTTCATGCTTTCATCAGCAGGTTCTGCATCCTATAGTACTCCATGCACAGACTTAATCCTGAATTTAAAAAACATCATTATTTAAAATATGACTTCAACACATGACATCATCCAAATCCTTTTCCATATTGATTCTGCTAGATCTGTAAGATTTGGCAGGACGGGCAGGGGGACAAACCTCCTCCAGGGCAGTCTGAGAGGACAAAGTGTATGTGATACTTGTTTGTACCAGTCCTGAACACAGCCAGCACAAACTCTGATTGTCCCTAAAAACCTGCTCACCACACACAGGGCCACAAGCAGCTCATCTAAGAGCTGGCAGAGGCCACAGGGAGTATATTCAGGATGCCCCAGTAGACCCCCATTTGACATACAACCAGGGGAACTCAAGAAGAGTTGCATTTCACAGCACTCGGCAGACGTCTGCTAGAAAGCAAATACCTCTTCAGGAGGAAGACAAAAATCTAATAACTGAATGTAGGAGGAGAAAGTCCAGTGTCAGACAAGAGATCCTTCTCTAAAGGATCACAAGGAGTTTGCTTGATTTTCAGCTTGGCAGGGTGTGCTTTGGGACTTCCATTCCATTGGGGTTTAAACACCCCCAAAAGACATCGTCTAAAACCAGAAAGGCAGAGCAGGATCAACACGTGCATATTTATATTTGCTTTGCATCCATCCGCTGTGGTGCTACACCTTCCTCTCATGGAATGGGGACCAATTCCTCCCGCCAGGCATCCTCTGTGCACATCCCCTTCAGAAGCAGGGGTTTGGTGGATGGCATGTTAAGGCACCGGCACCTCACAGCCATGCAGGGCAGCTTGGGGCTCTGGCACCCTACCCAGTAATTAGACAACATGCAAACTATCCATACCCACTCAGTATTAAGCTACCAGAAACACAAGCAAGGACACTTAGATACCTTTGGAGCTTAGCAACAGCTGCTCAGGATCCACTCTACCTCTCTCGAATCTATTCTTACTGACAGCTTTTGAAGCAGAGAATACATTGAACAGAGAAACAGGTTGATATCCCCTCTCCTCAACTGTAGGCGGATCCAGTTTGTTATTTTCTAAGCGTTTCCTTGGTGGCACATACAAATTCAATACTATGTCTGCTAGCAGAGATGTCTATTTTCAGAATAAATACAATGACATGCAAAGTTTGGATTAGCAACAGCTAAGTAGAAGACATCAGGAGATAAAAAAGGAAAAATCTCTCTTAAGGTTCTAACGTGCATAGGACAAGAGACTGAGTAGATCTAATTGTATGAAATTAAGGAATTTTCCACCCACTCACTCCCCTGCCCTTGCAGCTGGAATAGCGCAGCCTGGGTGCTGCCTCCTGGTTTCTCGGGAAATTGTTTGCAGAGAACAGAAACGTTTCACAGCACAGAAGCAAGAAATAACCTCAATGATTTCTCTGCCCTACTAGCCTAGAGTCAAGGCTGATGCACAGCAATCCTTACTGCATGCCAATATTGCTGCTTTCATACCCACACATGAGTATCAGGGGACAGACCCATATAAAGAAAGGCTTTTTCAAGTTGCCAGTTATTGCCTGGTTATGGAGACGGCAATGGTTGAGCTTTATGACTGGTTCTCAATAACACTACGCAGCAAGCCAACACTCTGCATTTATCACCAGGTTTACACGGTACTGACCTGATATGGGTACAGCGATTCGAAGGCAATGGCAACAAATGTCTGTAGCTGTTTGGACCCCCACTTATGTCCTTCCACTCAAAAGGATCCCCTCTGCCTACTGAGATGGCTGAGCTTGCCCTTGAACCTGCTCCTTTGGCTTAGGCTGCCCGAGCATTTAGTTCAGAAATATCTAGTTAGTTTTAAAGATTTAGGATCAGTTTTGTCACGTGGTGCCCAGGCGACCAGCCCGATATCAGCTTCTACATGACCAAAAGCTGAGGCAAGAAGCTCCACTAGGGACAGCTGTGCATGTACTATACTATATAATTGTACTGCCTTTAATTCAATGAGAAGAGAAGATATTTTTAGAAGTTTAAAACAAGTTACAATCCTAAAGTGACCAATCTCGTTCCATTACCTATAAAGAAAGTCAAGGGTGACAAGTTGGTATGGCTTCAAGTTGCGCCAAGGGAAGTTTAGGTTGGATATTAGGAAGAATTTCTTTACTGAAAGGGTCATCAGGCACTGGAATGCATTGCCTAGGGCAGTGGTCAAGTCCCCATCCCTGGAGGTATTTAAGGGTCATGTAGATATAGTGCTCAGGGACATGGTTTAGTTGTGGGCTTGTCAGTGTTAGGTTAATGATTGGACTAGATGACCTTACAGGCCTTTTCCAATCTAGGAAATTCTGTGATTCTGAGTTCATATCCAAGTGTCTCAAGTCAGGTGAGATCAATCCTACCTTCAGGACATAAGATGAGGAAGAGGTAAGGATCAAGCCTCTAATGACTACACTGATTTCATAGCAGTCGTGAGCTAACGTTTTCTATCCATGCCTTCCAGCCACGTACAGGAAAAAATACACACCATAGACAACCCTGATAAAATAGAAGTTACCCTAGAAAGTCACTTCCAGAAGTGGCAGAGCTACCTCTCCATGGTACAGGTTACCACTATCTCCTATAGAAAACAAATAGCATGCCATAATTTTAGAGCAATTATTATACAGACTATTTTAAGCACTTGGAAATAATAACCCTGGTTCTACTCTCTTCAAAGCCAGTGACCCAACTGCTGACATTATTAGTGGATAAGGTCTTTTTAGGGCATCAAAGGCTTTACTCCAGCCTAACTCCACTTCTTTCCCACCTTGCAGTCATCTGGCTCTATTAATACATAAGAAAGTGGAGTGGAGCCCCTCAGGGGTCAGTATTGGGACCAGTATTGTTTAACATCTTTGTTGGCGACATGGAGAGTGGGATTGAGCGCACCCTCAGCAAGTTTGCCAATGACAACAAGCTGTGTGGTGCGGTTGACACGCTGGTGGGGACAGATGCCATCCAGAGGGACCTGGACAGGCTCGAGAGGTGGGCCTGTGCAAACCTCATGAAGTTCAACAAGGCCAAGTGCAAGGGGCTGCACATGGGTCAGGGCAATCCCTGGTATCAATACAGGCTGGGTGGAGAATGGATTGACAGTAGCCCTGAGGAGAAGGACTTGGGGGTGTTGGTGGATGAGAAGCTCACCCCGAGCCAGCAATATGTGCTTGCAGCCCAGAAAGCCAACCCCATCCTGGGCTGCATCCCCAGCAGCGTGGCCAGCAGCGCGAGGGAGGGGATTCTGCGCCTCTGCTCTGTTCAGACCCCACCTGCAGTACTGCGTCCAGCTCTGGGGCCCCCAACATAGGAGAGACATGGACCTGTTGGAGCGGGTCCAGATGAGGCCTGCAGCACCTCTCCTATGAGGACAGGCTGAAAGAGTTGGGGTTGTTCAGCCTGGAGAAGAGAAGGCTCCAGGGAGACTTTATAGCAGCCTTCAGTATCTAAAGGGGCTACAGGAAAGATGGGGAGGGGCTCTTTATCAGGGAGTGTAGCAACAGGACAGTTTTAAACTGAAAGAGGGTAGATTTAGATTAGGTATTAGGAAGAAATTCTTTACTCTGAGGGTGGTGAGGCACTGGCACAGGCTGCCCAGAGAAGCTGTGGAGGCCCCATCCCTGGAGGCGTTCAAGGCCAGGCTGGATGGGGCTTTGAGCAACTTGGTCTGGTGGGAGGTGTCCCTGCCCATGGCAGCGGGGGTTGGAACTAGGTGATCTTTAAGGTTCCTTCCAATCCAAACCATTCTATGATTCTATGAAAACCAGAGGATTTCTCAAAGCATTTTCAGCATCATTTAAACTCAGGTGATCTTGTCTGCCCGTGATGGGCTAAACAAACTGTCAGTCACACTTGTCAGTTACTGTTGTTGCTCCTTAAAAGCAGGAATCCAATTGAAGCGAAGAAGCAGAAATGAAGGTCTGATACTTACTTTCTCAGGACAGCAATTTCATTTTCTATGCTGCTTTCCTTTCCCTTCAGTGCCTTCTTGGGAATGCACTTGACTGCAAAGAGTTTCCCACTTGCTCTCTCTTCAGCCAAAACAACTTCAGAGAATGCACCCCTGAAAGAAGAAAAGAAAAACACTGGTTTTAAGTGGTGCCTTTTCTTTGGAAGATATTAACTGAAACATAACCATTGAATATAGTTATTCTGGTGCCTTTTGATAGCTGCTGTTGTTAGCCATAGCAGTGGCATTATGAGCATCTTTCTTTGCCTTTACAAACATACACAGACATTCACATTTATGTAAAACATTAAAGGCTTACCAAATACAATTTTAATAAAGAACCATAGTCCAGCAGAGGGATGAGCAAAGCTTGAAAACCAGAAAGTACCATTTCCACACACAGGGGCATGGACTGTTGTCCAGCTACTGATTTAATGGATGATGTACTTTTTCCCTTCCTGAAGTTTTAGGATGTTTAATTCACACAGCAGTACAAAGTCTCTAGGACTAACTGATGTACCAGTGCCAAGAGTACTCCCAGTTCCTCAGTGACCACAAGAGGTCAGGGCCTTCGCTTTGGTCCTCCCTGGCAGCGCAGAACATCTCCTCACCGTTGGCTCAACCCTGACTCAGATGGGGAAGCAGCGTCAGGATTTCTCTATGTACACAGAGTTATTCCACAACACAAACCACTGTGTGTAACCGCTAAAGCCAAAGAATCGGATTAAATCACAAGTCCAAACGTCAGCCTTAACAGAAGCCTCCCTACGGTTACCCCAGAGAGGATTACACAAATAAAGAAACTTCATCACAGCAGCCCGTCACTAATAGCCAAGAGTGGGCAGTGCTTCTCCTTCATTAGATTATTCCATAACTGTGTATTATTTCTTGCACTCTCATCCCTTCCTCCAAAGCATCTGGACCTTACTAGGGTGAAGCCAGGAAAATGTTACAGTCAGCACTATATACACTTTTTTTTTCTGTTCTTAGACTGTTTTCTGAGCATTTGAGCATCACTCAGACACTGCTGGTCTGGGTGCACCTTTGCTCTGGCACACTGGGACCACTCATGTTCCAGTGTTTGGTACTGGTTTAGCAGCGAGACACTGGGCAAGAGAGCATTGGCCTGATGAGAAACAGCAAATCTCTGCTCATATGCACCAAAACCTCCTCCTGAAGCACCCGCTTTGTCCAACAGACATCGAAGCCAAGCACTTGTCTAACCAAATCACGCCTGAAGGATTCACCAGCTGAAAGATCATATTTTATTTAGACAAAATAAAAAGAGGTGGACATTTTTCCTTCATCTCCACCCCCCACCCCCCATCAGTAGATTGTTCTGCTCTCCTACATAGCTCTCTGTGAGGAGAGCCCAACCACGCTCTGCCCCACTCTTAAAACATTAATGCTTGATCACAGCCTCATTTGGTACCACCAACTTTCTCCAACTTTTATTCCCCACAACTACTGCTTATCTAGGTGTTTGTGGATAAATAGAAGTGTTTCCTTTCCTGGCCAGGCTCTTCCTTTTTAAGTCATGCACTTCGATGACACAACCAAGCGCCTGCGACCTCACCAACGGTTCCTGAGTTGCTAAACAACCAAATGAATCATTAAGCCAGTGGATAAGTGGATAAGCAAAAGGAAGAGACTGCTGCTTTGGAAAGAAAGCGCCTGTTTACCCAGAAAGGTTTTTGTAGCCAGCAGGGATAGGGAAACGGCAACGGGAAGTTTAGTAATGGATTAAAAGAGACTTTTGAAAACTGTTACAGCGGATATTTGACAGCCTGTCTACAGTGGTAGTGACCCTCTGAACCAAAAATGTTTTGCCTCAATTTGGACAGCGGTCCAGACTCTGACCACATTTATATCACTCTAAGTAAAGGAACGATTCACTGTTTTCCGCTCTGTGTATAATCTACCATGCCACGTCAGAGCATCACAGGCTCCAATTTAGAGTCCACACAATTGGTCCTAGTGGCTTGCGCAATGAAGAAATCGAGCCACCCAAAGTGTTTTTAAAGACCAATTCTTTGCTTTCCTATTATCAACAGTCCTAGTCATTTGATTCACCAAATGGAGTTTTCACCCTGACCCTCGTGCTTGGGACAGCCAGACCAGAACTGCAATAAAATCCTTTTACTGGAAAGCCCTAAGACCTCTCAGTGCCTATCATCTTTGGTTGCAGACCAGGGTGCTCAGAAACTCACAGCACTGCTCCCAGCTGTATTTCGTGAACCCCTTAAGTCCCATCTGCTTAAGCTTTCAACACTGCACTTCACTCCAGCTGTGTCTTGAACAAGCTTTTTGCCTTCAGTTAAATGCTGTTAAAAGCAGCATATTTGCATCACTCGTTTACTGATCACACAGCTCTCCCAATGTTTATGATATTATAAAAACACAGAGAGCTCCCATCCCAAGCTGGATTTCACTGCCATTCTGACAACGAAATAAAGGAAATCCCTTTATATCCCTCTACGCAATAAAGCCAGCTTTGGGAAACACCTCTATTTCAGCTGGCTTCATCGTTTTGCTGGGTTTCTTTCTCCACTTACCAGGACAGCCATAGAGCCCAATGGTTGGAAAGAGCCTCTGTGAATTTAAATGAAATTTTTTAGGGAGCTCCGAAATACTCATAAAAGCCAATTCCATATCTCCTTAACAACCTTTCTCATTAAAGCATGAAATAAGCTGAACCTCAGCTAAAGCGCTCGCTCACATGTCAAGCCTGGGCACTGACAGGGCACTTTATTACATCGAGTTTTATATGAGGCCATGGCATGAAATCGCTGGTGCTGGGAAGAGCCCCCGAGCAATGGCGGGGAGAGGGGGCGGGAAACGCTGGGGTGGATCTGCCGGGAAGGCAGGAGGGAGATATGACCGTCTGCACTGTCCTGTGCACTATACATGCTGCTGCGTTCACAGAGCAAGGAGAGGAAAAGCAACAAGGCAATGGACAAAAGAAAAGATCAGTGAAGTGCTAGAAGGAAAGAGAAGGGAGGGCACAAGTGCAGACATGGATCAAAGAGTTAACCACAGACAGAGAGGAACGAAGGGTATAGGACAAGAAGAAATGGTAGCAGGGAGCATCGGCAAGGAAAAGGCAGCAAAGACACTCCCGGAGTCTGCCAGAGTCAGGGGAGAGTCAGAAATAATAGTGTATAGATTGGCAAGCAATTAGCATAATTTCAAACACACAGATGAATTCATCCACCCTGAACCATCCAGTCCAGCCCCCACCAAACCCCTCTTGACTCATGCATGAATAGATAAATACCAGAGAGAAAGTCAGAAAGACAAGGCTGCTCATTTTCTTGCTAACAGCAATATATCCTACAGCAAATTCTCCGCCTCCTCAAAAAAGTTCCCCAGAACTACCGAGCTGGCAGGCTCGCTAAAGATTTTTCCCCCAAAGAATTAATGTGCCCTTTAAAATCAAGACATTAATGAAGGAACTGATTTATCTCTAAGAATTTATCACGATTCTTTATTGGGGATTAAAAATTAATTGTGTACAAAGTCCTATAAAAATGTTTGGTTTTGGAAAACGTTGCATTTTATACCATCAAAGTGACAGGACACGGTTTCCTCGTCCTGCCTGGAGATTACAGCAAACAAATAGAAAAACATCATGGTTTTGAGGAAGTAGGACAGCAGTGGAAATGGGTAAGCAAGAAACTCCTGCAAAATTAAACCACCTTTAGCTGCCGAGATACATGTGCGGCAACTGAACCTATTTCTGAAAGTTTTGACCATGTTATCATTTACCCTAGAGGGTCAACTCCATTCAAACTTCTAATTAAGGCATGGAATAATTTTATGATCTAGATCATTTTTATATGAACTAGGAACAAGGTAAGAAGAACAAAAAGAGGTTACATGACCTGATGTGTCACACTGAGATAACGCCAAATTCTAGAGGGTGATTGAGATGTTCTGACTCCTCACCCCTTTGCACACATCTGGACCATGCAGGACCCTATGAGAAGTCAATCTTTTATAGTTTTAATTTTTTAAACTATTTCTCATCCACTTATTTTCTTTAATCTAGATTTAAAGATTAGGATTTCAAGATTATCGTTGGAATACAAATGGCATATCAAACAGACTGGATTTTCTATTAGAAAACAAGGGCTGCAAGACTAGGCTATCCTGCAAATCAAAGCAAAATAAAGGCCAAATAACTTTTTCCTTCATCTGTTTGAACTATAATTTAATATGAACACTTAATTTCTGAAATACAATGAACAACATATACTTTGACAGCAAATCTGTTCTCATTCATCAAAAAAATTGCTGTCACAAAAATACTGACAAAATGAAGACAAAGAGTTGATGGAGGGATAAAACTTAATGTTCTCCATTTGCAGAGACCTCCATGTTGAGCAGTTTTCCACTGCATTAGCAGGTGCTCTGTCATACTAAATCAACAGACATAGGCAGGAAACAGATTTACATCTTCTGGCTGTGTATAGCTAATGATCTTAATTATGATACAGTTGGCTTTCTGTGTGTACTTTGCCCCAGCCAAACCATGGGAAAAAATGGTTTGAAAAATATACCATGTCCACGGTGAAGATCGCTGAGATGGGAGACCAACCGAATCAATGTAAGATTGACCAAATCAAAGAAAATAATTTCTGTAGCGTGGCTTCAGCAACCACACACAAATTCTGCTCCTTGGCTCCCCAAAGAAAGGCGACTTTGAATTGCACTACAAACAGAGGCAAGTATGTAAGAAAAAAAAATCTTCTCTAGCATTTTCACAGCTTTTGCCATGGGCCTTAAGGAGTTAATTGTGGGATGAGCTCAGGCTTTCTGTAACCAGCACATACCAGGGATATTGCAGACTATTTTTCTACTAAGCCATTTCTCTGCACAAGTCATGTTCCTTTTTTTTTTTTTTTAATTAAATTTTCTACTCTGTCATTTCTGTACATACATCCTCACTCTCCCAAATTTCAGGTGCATCCCAACATAAACCCAGACTAAGGCTGGAAATGAAGTTTTTCACTCCAAAGTCATGTCTATGAATGTCCTGACAATGGTGTGAAAATTAATTTACAATGAAATTTTCAATAGCTCAGTGATGTCTCAATGCAAAGTTAACAAAA